GGGTTTCACCATGTTGACCAGGATGGTCTCGATCTCTTGACCTCGTGATCCACCCGCCTCAGCCTCCCAAAGTGCTGGGATTACAGGCTTGAGCCACCGCGCCCGGCTTAAATGGTTTTCTAAAAGGAAATTTTAATTATCTGCCTGAAGAGCAGTTTGAAAACATGGCTCTTAAAATATGCAGGATAGCAGACATTGAGGGCAGGTACTTTCCATTAGGAGCTGTCTAATAAGACTGTGAAAAATCTTTATTGCTAAGAGGACCTAGTCATGTATATTCAGGGTAGAGATGTATAATGAAGAAAAACAGTCCCCTTGTACTCTGATAGCATATGGAATTTATGCAGGTAGTTTCTGCCACTTAGATGTGACTGTTAAATTATAGTCTTGAAAAATGTTATATTTTCCCCCTTTGTTTACAGGCAGAAATTGATACTACCTTGAGAAGAGTCACAGGGTATTTTCACAAAAGAGCCAAGATAAAGAACCTTCAGTTCTACATAATTAGGCACATTTCTAATATGCCTTTTGTTCTAAGTGGACAACATAGGAAAGTAGCAGCAGGATTTTTTTTTTTTTTTTTTTTCAGCTTCTGTAATCCAGGATTATCGTGAACATCAGTGATACCAAAGTGGATCTGGGGTTTAATCTTCCCCAGAGCATGCTTGGCATGTTCTCAGCAGAAAGCACCTTCTCTTTATATCTCCTTTAACCTGTGTCCCATAAAAGGGAAGGAATAATGAGGGACTACTTTATTATCAGTTAAACTAGATTTAGGCTGGGTGTGGTGACTCAGGCTTGTAATTTCAGCTGTTTGGGAGGCCAAGGTGGGAGGATCATTTGAGCCCAGGAGTTCAAGATCAGCCTGGGCAATGTAGTGAGACCCCATCTCCAAAAAAAATTAGCCATGCGCCCTTGGTCCCAGCCATACAGGAAGCTGAGCCGGGGGATCGCTTGAGCCCAGATCCTGTTTGCAACACTGTACTCCAGCCTGAGGGACAGATCAAGACTCTCTAAGAAATCTGGATTTAAAATTAAAACAATCTCAAAATTAAAAATCATCCAGCAGAATGCTCAGTATCACTTAAATCTGCAAATTTATACATGTGATCTTCTAGTTTTTTTGTTTAAGTAAAAGCTATCTCACTGTAACTAATGTATGGTTTTTTGTTTTTTTACTAGATGGAAACAATATGAAGCATATGTACAAGCTTTGGAGGGCAAGTACACAGATCTTAACTGTAAGTTTGAGTTTTAGCTTCCTAAAAGACTGAATAATCTTCTTTTGATTGTTGTTCCAATCAAAAGGATAACTGGCTTTATTAAAGCAACTGTAATTTTTCTCAAGTGTTTTATTATAAGAACTATACATAGGCACTGCGTTTGGTGCAAGAAAATACAAAGATCAATAGAAAAGTCAGACATGTAATACTCATATAATGACATAACTTACAAAATTATATGCAAGGTTCTAAGAATAGATACAGTAACTCAGAACTACTTGAAACTTTTCTTGCTTGTCCCCAAACCCTTCTACATAGGAGTATGACTTGAAGCATGAGTTTAGTCTAGAAGGGAAATAAATAGAAGCAATCAGTAACAGATTTATGACAGCTTAAATTAGTATATATAACTTAATTATGTGTAATATCTATTTACATATTTTTTCAAATCTGCTGAAAATATCAAGAGTTTATCATTTTAAAGCATTTTAGTCTCACTTTTTACTGTTTGAATCACATACTATTTGTTGAGTATGAAAACCAATATATGTTATTGTCTAACATCAGAGAGTTTATACCCTGAAATTCTGATTTTACATGACTATGTTATAATCTATAGAAGTCATGAACATTATGAAAGTTTAAGGCTGGGCACAGTGACTCACACCTATAATCCCAGCACTTTGGGAGGCCAAGGTGGAAGGATCACTTGAGCCCAGGAGTTGAGAACATAGGCAACACAGGGAGACCTTGTCTCTACAAAATAAATTAATTAATTAAATTTAATTTTAAAATGGGTCAGGAGGATTACTTGAGCCCGGGAGGTCAAGGCTGCAATGAGCTGTGATGGTGCCACTGCACTCCTGCTGGATAACACAATAAGATCCTGCCTCAAGTTTAATATACTAATTGTCCAGCAGTTATTACCATTTTTATTTTTTATTTATTTTTTTGAGACACAGTCTTACGCTGTTGCCCAGGCTGGAATGCAGTGGTGCAATCTAGGCTCACTGCAACCTCTGCCTCCCAGGTTCAAATGATTCGTCTGCCTCAGCCTCCCAAGTAGTAGCTGGGATTACAGGCATGTGCCACCATACCTGGCTAATCTGTATTTTTGGTAGAGATGGTATTTCACGATATTGGTTAGGCTGGTCTCAAACTCCTGACCCCAGGTGATCCACCCACCTCAGCTTCCCAAAGTGCTGGGATTACAGGCGTGAGCCACTGTGCTCAGCTAGCATTTTTATATTAAATAGATTAAAACATACTAATCAGGATTTTATGAATACTGTATAACACAAACAGATGTTTTATGTCTTCTGTTGCGAACAGATGAAACTATAAAAACATAATTCAGTTAGTAGTCATGGAGCACTGTGACACCATTACCTTCTAAAGAAGCTCTCATGACCAGGAAAAATTTCCCTTTTATAAAGGGAGTTAGGATACAAAGTAAAGACTTGAGGAAAGTTTTGACCCTAGTTTTTATTGTTCTTAACAGAGGTATTTAGAACTTGATCTTAAAATCATATTTATATATATTTTTAAATCATCAGCTAATGATGTAACTGGCCTAAGAGAGTCTGAAGAAAAATTAAAGCAGCAACAGCAGGAGTCTGCACGCAGGGAAAACATCCTTGTGATGCGACTAGCAACCAAGGAACAAGAGATGCAAGAGTGTACTGTAAGTATGTCAAGTTGTATAAGTCTTTAGTTGAGGAATTGGTTTTTAGTTCGCATTATTACATGTTGATTTTAAATACTTAATGGAATATGAGACCGTATTTTTTATAGGTATACACATTTTGAGCTTTAAGTATACTAGATGAAAATTTTGATAACGTCTCTTCATTTAGACTAAAATTTTTTTTTTTGTGGCCGATAAGGCAGAAGTTTTAAGTTGTTTTTGTTTGTTTGTTTGTTTGTTTGTTTGTTTAAATTTTCATGCTTTATGAATGTTTATCACTTCCAGACATTCTTCAGATCCTTGGTGTCTGAGGGTATAATCAATGAAAGAGCATTTGCTCCTTACTGCTTTATGTTTCACTGGCTAGGAAAGCCATCTGATTACTTTACCTCTGCTCTCTTGTTCCCTCTGAACTGTTTTTCCTAGTGTCAGCAACTTCCTCAGTGTCTCCTTTTTAAATGTTAGAACTTTGATGTGTACTGTGTAGTATTTACTAGTAATTGATCATCCAGTTCTGGTAGTTTAGATTCGATCTTACGGTGTAATTATACAAAATAATTAGAGACAGCTATATCTTTGTTTCTGATTTTAAAATCTCAATGTTTCTTTAATTCTTTGTGTATTCTCCATTCATTTGATACATACAGAAGTCTTCTAATGTGTTATTATAATCTTCTAAGGTAGTATTCTGGTCTCTGGAGACACACCAAAAATCTATGGGCACAGTCCTGTTCCTTTTACCTATAGAATGTTCCTTAATTTAAACAGAGATTGTTTAAATTTCCACACAAGTACCCAAATACTTATCTTTCCCTTTTTTCTAATTGACTTTTTCATATTTTACTTTGCTAAACGCTGGCTTTTATCATTTTCTTTCTTTCTTTCTTTCTTCTTTTCTTTTCTTGAGACAGGTTCTCTCTGTCATCTGGGCCAGAGTGCAGTGGTAGTGATCACAGCTCACTTGAGCTTCCTGAGTAACTGGGACTATAGGCATGTGCCACCAAGCCCAACTGATGTTCTAATTTTTTGTAGAGATGTGGTCTTCCCTACATTGCCCAGGCTGGTCTTGAACTCCTGTCCTCAGTCAGTCCTCCTTCCTTGGCCTCCCAAAACTGTTGGGATTATAGTTGTGAGCCATCGCACCTGGCCTGTTACCATTTTCTCTACCTTATCACCACATTTTGTCCTTTCGTTCCCATCAGTTTATTGTAATTCTCACTACCACTGATACTTTTTTCTCCATACTTACTAATGAATGTTTTAACAAATTTCCCTTTTTACAAAAAATGAATCTTACCTTTAGACTGCTAACACTTGGGAAATACAGTTGAATAGATGATGTTGATGGTACTGTCTCATAGGACCAGAATGTGTCGAATTCCTTTCTCTTACGGATTCCTACTCTGGATATCTTAGTTGAGGAACTAAGTACTTGCCTACACAATGTGTGCTATTCATGCACCTCTGATTCTCCAGCTGTCCTGTATACACTGGCGATTTTGATCATATGTCTGGTGAAGAAGGCCTTTGGTGATACCTCATCAGTCTTGTCTCTTCAACCTGGATTTTAAGGTTATTTCAACTATAATGGAAGCTAACTTTTTACAGCCTTTTTCTTTTTTTCTTTTTTTTTTTTAACAGCTGTCACCTGCACAGGCCAGCTGAACAACTTCCTGTTCTTCCAGTTATAATACAAGTGAGGTTTTGCAGGCAGGGCAGGGCAGCAGGAGCAAAATCACAAGAAAAGACAAGATTATATATGGCAGATGAGGATAAAGTTTCAGGTGACAGTGAAAAGAGATGAGGTCAGAATCTTGGGTATTCTAGGAGAGGTGGAGCCACTGAAGAATTTTTGAGCAAGAGATGTATGTGATGGATTAGATTTAGATTTACATTTTAAGTAGATCACTCTGGCTTGAGTATGAAAGATGGATGTGAGTGGAACAGGACTTTAAGCAAGAAAACCAATTGTGAGGCTGTTAAAATAGTCCAGATGAGATAAATGAAGCCACTGGCAACAGGGAGCAGGCAGGACAGAATAGGTGTTTTGGAGGCACAAATCAGTAGGACTTTTTTAGTTTGGATGCTATTGTGGAAGGAATGAAAAAATTTAGGGAAGAATCACCAATAGCTCTCAGGTTTGTCTTGTTTGACTGATTGAGTAGTGATGCTACTAGGATAGAGCCTACAAAGATCAAATTTTAAAAGAAGAGCAGAGTGTGGTATTAGGAAAATTGAGGAAATCCAACATTCCTTCCCCCCCCCCCAAAAAAAATAAAGTGATTAAAACACAGGCATACATAAAGTTCTATACAATAGGAATTTTAAATTGTTCATTAGATTTGGCAGTTAAGAGGCTATTGGCCAAGGAAGCCAAAAGATTGGATACCCCTGCTCTAGAGAAACTGTCAAGTGGGAATCGTGAGAAACCGAATTTAAAGGGTAGAAAGAATGGGAGTTACGTACTAGAGGAGATAGGAGGGAATAGGTTAAGCATTGGTTGAAAAGTTTGGCCCTGAGAAGGGGGGTTTGTTACCCCCTTGAGATTGAAAAAACGTGGAAAGGTTTGTATTAGGTACCTGTCCTTTATTTATTTACTTTTCATTTATTTATTTTGAGATGGAGTCTTATTCTGTCTCCCAGGCTGGAGTGTAGTAGCTCAATCTCAGCTCACTGAAACCTCCACCTCCCAGGTTCGAGCAGTTCTCTGCCTCAGTGTCCCAAGTAGCTGGGATTACAGGTGCCCACCATCATGCCCAGCTAATTTTTTGTATTTTTAGTAGAGATGGGGTTTCACCATCTTGGCCAGGCTGGTCTTGGGGCTCCTGACCTCGTGAGCCACCATGCCCAGCCAGCACCTATCCTTTAAAACAGTGCTGCTGCTTTTACCCCTGGTATTTCAGGAGTCTGTCTGTTTCTGTAGATCTTTTGTTTGCCCAGAATACTAACTTATCTGTTTGATCTTTTAATAATAATGCTGTATTTGTTTGTCTGCATACAGTCTTTGCCAAGTGCATCAGTAGTCAGTTTAGTTAGTTGTGAGTGTAAGGCATAAGTTAGCCACATAAATAGCTACTATATTCTTAACTCTGTATTTTGTTGGTAAGTAAAATCTATCACTTTTGTTTACCTCAGTGGTTTTTCTATTTTTCATTTAGTCTTTTGCCAATCAAAATAGATTTAGTAATAAAGCTAACTTTGAAAACGCTTTACCCAGTGTTCTCATCTCTAGAACATGGAATTTATTCTAGTCAGAGTTCACCTCTCTTTTCATGATTGAAAATGTTGACTGCTGGGTCTTTGTAAACATAAATAGTAACTGAGTCTCAGCGTTGTAGACTTATCAGTACATTGAGTCCACTCTAAGACATGGTGTATTCTTGCTTTGTTAAGTTATCTTAGCAGCTGCCTTCACATTGACTATGCAGTTGTACTTTTTTATTCAAAAAATATTTTTATTTGCTCAGTGAAGCAAATTAAATACAGTCCCAATTTACCTAGTGTGTTTGTTCCTTTTACTAAATTTATATTAGGCAATTTTAACTGTAATCCTGTTTAAGCCTTAGTATGAAGCTAGAACTTGGGCCAGATCTACTTTGAGTATGACTAAAATGGTGAATTTAACACTAATAACTGTATTTCATATTTTAGAAATTATTTTTAGTGTGCTAGTAAATAGTACAACTGAAGTCGAAATTGAAGGTTTCATATGTAAGTAGAAGGGTTCTGGTATGGTGGAAAAAGCTCTAGACTGGGAATCAGAAGGCCAGAGAACTAGAATTGTAGTCCCAGCTATGGCACTGAACTAAACAGTTGGGTTATTTAATCTCAAAATAAGCAGTTGGGATTAGGTTAGTTACTTTCCAGCTTTATAATTCTATAATTCAAATCTACTCAGAAGGGGAAAAAAGTATGAATTATACTTTATTTTGGCTTAAGGCCCTATAGAGTTTTGCTTTTATAAGCTGTAATGGCAACTCATGTAGATGTCAGTACTGTATATTTTTTTCTTTTAGAACTGCAAATATGTATTTTAAGTTATAATCTTGTACCTGATGTATTTTTAGGGGACTTTACATAGAATAATTTTCACAGGCAAAATTTAAGCAAACCAAAAGACATCATTAACTGTTAGGTAATTAATATTTTAAACTTTGCCTTTTTTCCAGTGGGTTATCAGCAGTTTTAGTAAATATAACATTGAGTTTTATCTCTTTTTGGTAATGTTTGGATTCTAAAGTAAAATGTATGTAGCCATTTTAAAGTTAAGTCCTGGATTTGGAGATGTTATCAAATGGCCTCAATTCCTACATGAATAACCTTAAGTAAATATTTTTTTTTTTTTTTTGAGACAGAGTTTCACTCTTGTTACCCAGGCTGGAGTGCAATGGCGTGATCTCGGCTCACTGCAACCTCCGCTTCCTGGGTTCAGGCAATTCTCCTGCCTCAGCCTCCTGAGTAGCTGGGATTACAGGCACGCACCACCATGCCCAGCTAATTTTTTGTAGTTTTAGTAGAGACGGGGTTTCACCATGTTGACCAGGATGGTCTCGATCTCTTGACCTCGTGATCCACCCGCCTCGGCCTCCCAAAGTGCTGGGATTACAGGCTTGAGCCACCGCGCCCGGCCCATAAATATTTTTTTTTAATTGACAGATAATAATTGTACATATTCAAGGACTACTACATAGTGATGTTTCAATACGTACAATGTATAGCGATCAGGTCAGGGTAATTAGCGTGTTCATCAAATAGTTTTTAATTTTTACTTTTTCTTAAAAGTTTAAAGATTTTTCTAGAGAATTTCAGGATCAAAGAGGGAAGGAGCTTAATGAGGGAGTTAATAAGTCAAGTGAAGGAGGGAGTTTTCTCCACCTTCTTATGTATTTTTCCTTTGATTTGGTCGTAATTGTTTCTTTTGCTTTGTACAGACTCAAATCCAGTACCTCAAGCAAGTCCAGCAGCCGAGCGTTGCCCAACTGAGATCAACAATGGTAGACCCAGCGATCAACTTGTTTTTCCTAAAAATGAAAGGTGAACTGGAACAGACTAAAGACAAACTGGAACAAGCCCAAAATGAACTGAGTGCCTGGAAGTTTACGCCTGATAGGTAAACAAATCATACTCCCCAGTCAAGACTTCCCTGACAGTCCCACTACGAGAAAGCTGTGGTGGGACAGCCAAGTACTCGTTTCCACACCAAGACTCAGACTTTTTGAGCCAAAAAAAAAAAAAAAAGCCACATTCTTACACTGTCCAGCTTGTAATGGTTAATGTAAAACTTACCAGATGAACCTTGTGTTTCAGCTTTTTCTCTTCCCCTTCCCCTTGCTTCAGAGGCCTGATGGCGTCGGACTATTCCGAAGAAGTGGCCACCTCCGAAAAATTCCCCTTCTAGAACATGTAGACACTTGAGAAATGTTTCTGTTTGAAGAAAATAGAGGGAGAAACAGAAGTCTTAAGTCTGTGGCACACTGTGTCTTCAGACAGTTTGAAGGAATGAAAACCTAGAGATTTTAAGTCATGAATTGAACATGTAAAATTCCAGTAAAATGTAAAAATGGAATATGCATCGCTCTTAACCTTGAGCACAGTGACTTAGAGACACTGTATATCAGTTTTGCCAATAAGACTGTGGACTTCGTGATTGTTGTTGAACTTCTGGGTCAAAACTCAAATGAGGTGAATTTTGCCTTTAAAGGGTTTATTTGCTGAGAACCAACTTTTAATACTCATGAGAGAATCAATAGATGTCCGTACAAGTAGCGCATATATTTAACCATTTAGTTTGGGGCTCTGTAGTACTTGCTTGAGCCTTAAATCAATGTGGTTCTATTCAATGGTTTGTTCTTTGAATGGTTGCAAAAACTGTAGATAATCTTACTGAGGACTGTACAAACATGAAGGTGTGGTATCAAACTTCAGGTTTAAACTGTTTGAAGCATTATAAACATTCATTTCACAACTAGATTGTATAAGGATATTAGCTGTGATGAGACTCACTGCATTATTTTTTTAGTGAATTTTATGAAATCCCCATTCCATTCAACAGGCACATGTTTAAAAGAGCATTGTCGTTGGTGTTAATGGGGGAATGTGTTCCTTCATTGTATTTGGGCCTTTTGTATTGCACTCTTGATATTAAATTAAATGTGCCTTGAAATAGTTGTTTTTTTTTTTTATTTTTTTTTTAAGTTCAAAGAATATTATGATGATTTTGTTGTACTCTTTAACAGTTTAATTTGGGGGGGGCGCTGTGGAGAGCAGATTGATTTTGGAAATACTGTTGCTGTGCTCTTCAAAGTGAAGGAAAAGGCGCTGTGCCTCATTTTTAAAAGACTACTTTATTCCATTTGATATCATAAAAGACAAGGAGACTTGACACTTGTTACTTTTATGACGCTTTGTCCCAGGGTATTGCAGTAGAAAGTAATGTGGGACAGCTTCACAGGGTGCCTGCCAGAAGATAATGTGTTGGAACTGTGGGCTGGCCTAAGTAAGACATTCTGTGAATTGAAAAAAGGTATAGTGACCATTTCTAGCAAATTCATTTAATCATTTAGATAAATGAGGCATTATTTTCTTCATGCTTCCATCCAATCCTGGAGGTGAATTTTTTCCGTCAGATCATTCTATAAGTCACCAATTCAAATTTTCGCTTGGTGATAATGGAGTCTAAGATGAGTGGAAGATAAATGTTCCAGCTTGTCCCAACGTTTAAGTGCAGTTTTAACAAGGGTGACTTAAGTTCTCTCTTTATCATTCAAATCAATTGTAAGTATCTTGTATGTTTGTGCTTTAGGGAACTGATTGTGGGGCAGAGGGTGGGTTGAAGAAGTGGTTTGTGTGACTTTTTCAGCAAGAAATCTGCTTCTAAAATTCTCACTATTTGTGAGGGTTGGAGGGTAAGTAACCAGATCTGTTTGAAATTAGCTTATGTGCTTGCATTAAGGCTTTTGTATATATTTTATGCCATTTAAGATCACAGTAGAAATGGCCTAAGTATCTTTTTAGTAGATCAAGAAGTAATTCATAAAATGTATAATATGTACTCAAATTTAGTGGGCATCTTTCTTTGTCACTTAGATAACAGTCATGAGTTCTATGGGTTTTTTCTTGTTATTGTTAAACTTTTCTAATTAATAAGATAATACATGCTTGTGTGTAAAATTGAAATAATGTAGAGAAAGTTGGAGATGAAAAGTGAGTGTGACTCCTGGATGTGACCTTGACATCCCATTCTGTTCTCCAGGAGCAGTAGCTGCTGTTACTTTTCTTGGATATCATCAAGATTATTTCTATGCATATACAGTCATTTTATGTATATTGTTTTAAACAAATGTGATCATACCATAAACACAGATGACTTGCACCTTGTTTTTTTCACTTAAGTCTCTTCAACATTTTTCCATTTTTTAGTATATCTAGACTACTACATTTTTAATGGTTACATAGTGTATTTCCATTATATTAAGATATCATAATTTATTTGAATGACTTCTAAATGGATTTTTTTTCCTGTAAAATTGGCTGTAAGCCAGAGTATATCAAGTACTATAAATACATCACTAATTTGAAACAAATAATGGCTCAGGCAATCACCTGTCTGGAATATTTCCAATAATGGAATGGATTTTGCTTTGAGGAGTGTGTGTGTGTGTGTGTGTGTGTGTGTGTCTTCACTTTACTGTTTTTCTGTTTTAATTTTGAGGAAGAAAGATTCCCTAAATTAACCTGTCCACTTAAGTTAAAATGTTTCATTCATGTGAGGATGCACACATTTTAAAGAGTGTTTAGAGGTACATCTTTTAAAGTGCTTTCTATTATGTCTGTGGGTTAACTGATTTTAGGAATGGGGTTTTTTGTTTGTAAATTTAAAAAATTATTTCAAAAAACTTGTAATTAAATTATTTTTTCAAAACAGTGATTTTGTTAAAATTTATTTAAGTGATGACTAGTTCTAAACGTGATAGATGACCTTAGCCATTTATTTCTAAAAAGATATGGCTTTCAATTGAAACCTTTTTTGCATTAGAATTTGTGACATTTTTATATGGGGTTAAGTCAGGTCACAAATTAATATGGTTAAGTCAGGTCATAAATTAATGTATCTTACAGTTTTTTTTCTACTCTTTAAAAATTACATAATAAGGATTTTCAGGTTAGTTGTGAACACCAATGAAATATATATACTTTGCAAGAAGACAGTTTTGAGAGTATAGGTAGTAAAATGGAAGGAATTCCATTTTTTTTGACAATCCTGCATCTCTCTCTTTTTCTCACTGTTTAATTTCTAAGTGGGTGTTCAGTAGAGGCTAAAGCCTGAGAGTGCTGATGGGAAATGATGGAAATCTGGAGCTACAGTAGCAATAAACAAGAACACCAGCTAATAACAGTTATCATATCAAAGAATGAACCCCTTACCTCATGCTCACTGGTGGCTTTCACCTTGGGCTCTTCTGAACAGTAGTAACCCAGGTTTAACTGTTCACAGATTTTGTGTAAAGAAGCTTAATTACAAACTTTTCCTTGAATTACATTAGGTTAGAAAACATGCAGCCAGGCACAGTGGCTGATGCCTCTAATCTGAACACTTTGGAAGGCTGAGGTGGACAGATCACTTGAGCTTAGGAATTTGGGACCAGCCTGGGCAACATTGGTGAAACCCCATCTCTACTAAAAATCCAAAAATTAGCTGGTGGTGGTGCACACCTATAGTCCCAGCTACTCCGGAGGCTGAGGTGGAAGGATCACCTGAGCCTGGGGAGGTCAAGACTCCAGTGAGTTAAAATCACACTATGGCACTCCAGCCTAGGCAACACAGTGAGACCCCCCATCTCAAAAAAGAAATTACGTTGTAGGTAAAAGAACTGCAACACTTCTTCAAAGAATGATAATTCTTTACGAGTTCCTTACATTTTTAAAGTTCTAAGGCATACTGAAGTAATGTATCAAGCAAGTGAAAGCCTCACCAGAAGGAGGAAAGACTAGAATTAAAAAAATGTTTTAGCCAATAAGGTCATTCTGGGCTTACCCCCAAGGACAAGAATGTCACACTGTCTTTATCCAAGTCTCAAAGGTAAAGATAACAATTATTTACTTAGATTCTTTTAAAAGTGATCATTTCTTTTGTCTTTTTTGTCTTCATAAATGATTATAAGAAGAAACAATTTCTTTTATTGCTGCAGCTTAAAGAAAAGCAATAAAATTTTATTGAGAAACATTTGAGCTTTTCATTACATTTTTGCAATTGCTATGTATGTACATGTAGGTTCGGTAGTATGTTGCACTAGCATTTAGAAACTAATTTGTGGAAAGTGTGGCACTCCTGTATTGGCAGATATTCACATATCTGAATTGTGATACGTGACCACTGATCTTATTTTTGTGTCAAAAGGATGATCTTTTCTGTCAATAAAGTCTTAAGTCTTAAAAAATAATATTATTGCTGAATGTGCCTCAATTGATATAATAGATATATTCATATATTCTTGAGAGTTGTGGAAGATGGATGTACCAGAAAGCTTCCCTCTCTCCGCCTCGTTTTTGAGACAGGATCTCTTTCCCAGGCTGGAATGCAGGCATGATCACAGTGTCAACCACTTGAGCTTAAGCAATCCTCCCACCTCAGACTTTCCACAGGCTGGCACTACAAGCATGTGTGCCTGGCCAGTTTTTTTAAAAAAATTTTGTAGCATTGGGGTCTCACTATATTGCCCACTCTGGAGGACTTCCTATTAAGGAAAATCCTTATTAAATGTTTTTCTAGCAAGAATAAATATACTCTTTCATTTTTATTTGTGGGTACTGACTTTCATATAGTAGATTATAGAGAAGCATTTGTGATTGATGTTGCATGTACGTTTTCAATAACTTTTGATAAAGCACTAGATACTTTAGTGTAATAATAATGGTGTAGCCAAGGTATATGTTAATTAACTGGCTCTGTTTCCATTTCAAATGATAATTTGAGATGAAAATAGGTCGGTTTTAGAAGTGATGTAAGAGAAACAAGGTGTAACTGTTAGGACACTTTTTGTTTAGTGTTTATTTTTGCTGCTGTATTGGCAAAATATTGAAATGCAGAAGATGGATGTGTCCCAGAAAAGAAGGTGGTAATTGTGGGGAAGCATCTGCTGTGATACAGTTATGTTTGTATGTGTTACATCTATCACTGTAATAATTGTAAGCAAAGAAGGTTATAGAGAGTTTTGTCTTCATTTTGTGATAGATGGCTCTTTCCTTTGCAGCCAAACAGGGAAAAAGTTAATGGCGAAGTGTCGAATGCTTATCCAGGAGAATCAAGAGCTTGGAAGGCAGCTGTCCCAGGGACGTATTGCACAACTTGAAGCAGAGTTGGCTTTACAGAAGAAATATAGTGAGGAGCTTAAAAGCAGTCAGGATGGTAAGGGGTTTTTTTGAAAAGTTCTCTTAACTTTGCACTGGCTTTAAAACTGCCAGTCATGATCATTCCAGGATAGATTCTGTACATTGTTAACCTCTGCCTATGATTGTATATTATTGTGAATAAAACATTTTTAGTTGAGTCAGCAGACAAAGCCACATAATTTAAATATGTTTTTCCCCAGTCTCCTCATTCTTTATTGTTCAAAACTTCTTACGCTTTTGTTTTTAGTGGGGGGTAGGATTTGGTAAAAGAAAAAAGGTTGTTATATAACTTAACAAGATGGACAAATTTGTATTCAGTGTTTGAAAGGGAAAATATCTTTAACCATTTCTAGTTAAGTGTAAATCTTAGAAATATTTGGCAGTTTTCAGCGATCTGAAAGTAATATAGTTGATTGTACCTGTGATGGTTTTATTAGCAAATAAGTGATTTACTCTTTAAATTTGCTGAGATAAACAAAACTTGTCAGCCTCCATCCTTTTTAGTGCAAGTGTAGCGCATCTGTCCTGTTTCTCTCCTCTTCGTAAGGTGCATTATTAATAAGGAAAATATCTAAATTCTTTGAAATTTTAAACTGAAAATTAGTGTCTCTGATGGTTAATTGCAAGGATGATTGTAGCCAAGTAATTTCTTCTAAACTACTTACCTTTTCAAAATCATCAGGAATTATTTCCTGTGGCATGTCCTTATATGTGTAACAGTCCTTAGTTGAGAACATGGGCCTCTTTGGAGTATTAATAGAGGACCATACTGTCCTTAAGGGCCAGACTTGCTATGGAACTGAGACACTGGCTAGGAGAGTCAGCAATAAGGGGACTGGCCATAGTTGGCCCCATAGGTAAACGTAAATCAAACTTTAGGGGCTGTAATCGGGTATATGGCAAGATGGATCAAAACGATTTAACTTGGTTGCTTAATAAAGTCGTCCCTTGGTATCCATGGTGGATTGGTGTCAGGACCTCCAACAGATAAGCCCCTCATATAAAACAATGTCATATTTACATATAAACCTATGTACATTGGGCCAGACATGGTGGCTCATGCCTGTAATCCCAGCCAAGACGGGTGGATCATGAGGTCAGAAGTTTGAGACATGCCTTCTCAAACCATGGCCTACATGGTGAAACCCCATCACTACTAAAAATAACAAAAAAAATTAGCCAGGTGTGGTGGCACATATCTGTAGTCCCAGCTACTTGGGAGGCTGAGGCAGGAGAATTACTAGTACCCAGGAGGCGAAAGTTGCAGTGAGCCAAAATTGTGCTACTGCTCTCCAGCCTAGGTGACAGAGTGAGACTCCATTTCAAAAAAAAAAAAATAAAAACACGAAAAGAAGCCTGGGTACATTTAAGCCATCTCTAGATTACTTAACAGTACCTAATACAGTGTAACTGCTATGTAAGTAGTTATTCTACTGTATCGTTTGGGGGATAATGACAAGAAAAAAAAATCTGTACATATTCAGTACAGACTCAGTTTTTTCCTCAAATGTTTTCCTTCTACAGTTGGTTGAATTCACAGATGCAGGACCCGTGAATGTGGAGGGCCAACTGTATATTAAGTATCTGACTTCCCCCAAAGTAAACATACTTTAAGATCCCAAGCAAAATTTATAAATGTAGTATGATTTTACTATTGTATTCGTTTACTTAGCAAGCATTTATTGACTGCCTTGCTTTGTGGCAGGCACTGAAGAAACATTTTTCAATGTTATAAGAGATATTAAAGTTGATTTGACTCTCCTTTGCACAGAACTGAATGACTTCATCATCCAGCTTGACGAAGAAGTAGAGGGTATGCAGAGTACCATTCTAGTTCTACAGCAGCAGCTGAAGGAGACACGCCAGCAGTTGGCTCAGTATCAGCAGCAGTCTCAGGCCTCTGCCCCAAGTACCAGCAGGACTACAGCTTCTGAACCTGTAGAACAGTCAGAGGCCACAAGTAAAGACTGCAGTCGTCTGACAAACGGACCAAGTAATGGTAGCTCCTCCCGCCAGAGGACGTCTGGGTCTGGATTTCACAGGGAGGGGAACACAACTGAAGATGACTTTCCTTCTTCTCCAGGGAATGGTAATAAGGCCTCCAACAGCTCAGAGGAAAGAACTGGCAGAGGAGGTAGTGGTTACATAAATCAACTCAGTGCGGGGTATGAAAGTGTAGACTCTCCCACGGGCAGTGAAAACTCTCTCACACACCAATCAAATGACACAGACTCCAATCATGACCCTCAAGAGGAGAAAGCAGTGAGTGGGAAAGGTAACCGAACTGTGGGTTCCCGCCACGTTCAGAATGGCTTGGACTCAAGTGTAAATGTACAGGGTTCAGTTTTGTAATATTTTTTCAGCAAATTTTTATACAGTGTCATTTAATTTGAGAGAGGATACTGTCCAGAAAATTAATGCATACTTTTGTCACAATTTGCCTTTTCGTGGGTGTATGTTTTGGTTCTTTTTGTTTGGTTTCTCTTCGGGTTTGTTTTTGTTTGTTTGTTTTGCTTCAATACCTCTGCCACTTTGGAAATTGTAACAGTTAATTACTTTGAATGTTGCTAAAAGGACATTTTGTGTAGGGTCAAGTTATTTTTATATGAGTTAATGTGAAATTGTAAATGGAAATTTTTCCTTAAACTATAACACAATGACGTCTGTATAAATCTATGTCTGTTTAGAACCTGTGCTGTGTAAGGGCATTCTTACTCATGCTGTTACTGTACTTATGCACCATTCAGACTTGTTAGAATAGATGTGGGTTTATGACTGCCAAGTTTGCCCAGTACAGTAGTTTTTTATCACTAAAAGTTGGACTCATTGCTGGAGTCCTGTAGTAGTTTCAGTGTTAGATACAGTTTTTTCCACCATACATCTGTGCATTTTCTCTTTAGGTGACTGAATGTTTAAGAAGTTTGTGTGCATAGTTACTCAGTTTTTATGAACTGTTGTATCCTGTTAATGCATATTGCTCTGTGACTCCAATATATCTTACCTGTACTGACCAAACCTAAATAAAGATTTTTATTGTAACTCCTTAATTAGCTTTTTTGTTTTGTTTTGTGTGTATGTTTAGCATTTGTCATTTATTTTCATTGAGTAACTGAATTTCTACTCATTTTCGTCCAAGTACCACAACAGTGAAACTTAAGGCCAAGCATCGATTTTGATTTTGTACATAATTTTTAATTTATGCCAAATGGATCTGGAGTTTAGGGGTACACTTAAAATTTTTTCTTGACTTGTTACAAAATATTTGAAAATACAGAAAAGTATAAAGAAAATAGTCACCTAAATATTTCTTAGGGGTTTGTGTATGTGTATGTGGGTGGGGGGGGGGGGGCCTTGCTTTGTCACCCAGGCTTAAGTGCAGCCTCAAAGTCCTAGGCTTTAAGTGATCTTCCCACCTCAGCCTTCTGAGTACCTGGGACTACAGGCATTTACTACCACACTAGGCTACATTTATTTTATTTTTAGTGGAGACAAGGCCTTGCTGTGTTCCCCAGGCTGGCCTCAAACTCCTGGCCCCAAGGGACGCTTCTGCCTTGACTTCTCAATGTGTTGGGATTGCAGGAATGAGTCACACAGCTCTCAGCCCTTTCTGAGGTTTAATTAAAAGCAGTGTTTGTTTTTTGTAACCTGATTTCAGGTAGAGTATCTGTGTAGTGAGTGATGTTTGTTTTAAAACACTGGCCAGTACTACTGACTTTTATTAACAACATATTTGATAATATTACATGAGTAAGGGATGTTAGAATGTAGGTAGGAGACATGTTTAAGGTGGAAGAATGTCAAAAGTTTGCTCCATTTTCTCAGAGGTAATTAAATATTAAGCATAAAAGTATGATATTGAATGGCCTTGAATAGCTTTCATATATGATCAAAATGAAATTCCATTTCTGCTAAAAGCAAAGTAGTTGTTTATTATAACTTGTAATATAATCAAGGAACCTTGGAAGTAGAATTACAATACTTGAAACGGAGGTACAACTTACCTGAAAGTAACTGCTGCTTTTGCTTGTTTAGCTGACACAGGTATATCCGGTTTTCAGTAGTAAATGAAATACTGCACTGTGTCTTGATTAACCTTTTCTGCAGTCTGCTCAAGAGAGTAAACAAATTCTACACAATTTTAATTTGCATATGATTAAACATTTTGGTGTGAACTAAAATCATAATCCCTTGGTATGTCAAATACTGTGTTTGGCTTTTGTGTACATCCTTCAACTTGACAATTTAAACAAAAATGGAATTTCTCTGTCCTGTGGGTGTAATGTAATCATGAATGTGTGGTAGGAAATTAATTTTTCAACCAGTTATATAATTTATGATTGAATTTAATATTAACCTGTTAATGTGACATTTTCATGTTTCATTTTCATGTTTCTGTTGGGTCTGCCTTGATTAATAACTCAGAGCACTTATGCTGTACAGAGTCAGTATTTCTCATTTCTGGAATTAGATGCTTTATTTTCTGGTTTGACTATGATAAGAGAGGTAATAGACCATATCCAAGAAGAGAGAGTGGCTTCTGCATCTAATTGGTTTGAATCCTGGCATTACGCTTAACTGACTTGGGCAAATGTGTCCTCTCTATGGCTTGATTTTTTTTCTCTCTCTCTCTCCCCTGTAAGAGCACTCACTTAAGTCAATACATGTAGAGTGCTTTTAACAGTAGTCTTAGCTCCGGCTGCTATAAAAAAAAAAAAAAAAAATACCACAGACTGGGTGGCTTTACACACTCATTCCTCACTGTTTTGGGAGCCTGGGGTTTTGGAAGCCTGGGAAGTCTAAGATTACAGTGTCCCCTGATTGGTTCTCCGATTTGGTTCCTGGTAGGAGTCCTCATACATAGAGTGCAATAAACTTGTTTCCTTGGCTGCTCAGCTGTATTTGGTTCCTGGTAGGAGTCCTCATACATAGAGTGCAATAGACTTAAGTTTCCTTGGCTGCTCAGCTGTATTTGATAACACTACTCCAGTTTTTGAGACACTTGCAAAACAATGCAAAGCCATTCCTTCTGACAACTTTCTTTCTCAGATATTCCCTCTTTGATGAGTAGTTACACCCTGTACTCAGTCATTGCCTGCTACTCTATGACACTGTCTTGGGAGCTCACCTATCCCTGTGGTAATAGTGAACACTTTCAAAGCCCCAGGTAATGGCATTAAGTCTGATCTGGACCCATCATGGGTGTCTGTTGTGAGACACTGTTGAGCTACCCCTAAGTGGTGAGGAGCATGCTGCTGACCCCTATCCTATGGCAAATCCACTTTGGTGATTTACTGCTCCCCTCATGGAAACCAAGGAGGAATTTGCTACATGGTAGGTTGGTGAATCTGGCCTTCTTGCTAAGACCTAGCCTGGACTTCTGCAACTCTTTATGAAACTTAACCAAGAATGATTGCATCTTACAGGGGGGAAAATGCTGAGAAGGCCCCTTTAAAATAAACTGGCTCTGAAGCACTGCTGTTAATGGTGGCCCCTCATGAGTAAGCACTTGACTTGGAGATTTTGGTAGCTTTCCTGCCCACTCACCCAGCTCACCAGTCTAGGTAGTTTATGATTTGAGATCTAGACGTAATTTTAAAAATTATCTTCCTCTTCTTCCATTCATTATTCTTAGTCTTCATCTAGCCCATACATACCTTTGAGTAGGTAATGACATGAGTAGCTATAATGAGGACTCCTCAGGGTACAGATGCTGTGTGGCCACTCAACAGAAGCATGCAATCACCTCAAGATTTGCTCCTAAACTTATCCTGGATAGAGCCTTCAGGCAGGAAACAATACATTCCTTGTCTCCGGAAGACTATATTCATACTCATTCAAATGTGCCAGGCACTGGCCATAAAGAATATATTGGTGTTCATTCATAATTAATGCCTATAATGTGTAGGAGCTGTGTATAAAGCAGTGTAACAGGATCATCTTGCAAAGTTGTCTAGTAAAGGAGACAAACTGGGAATTATATGGTAAGCTGAAAGGGGTAAGATGCTTGCACCAAACACAGGAGATTGGAAGGTTTTTCTGGATGTTTGAATTTCAGAGGTAAATTTCTGGCTTAGTTAACAGAAGACAGTTATACTGCTCACTGAGATTAAATAGAGAAGAAACAGGCTGGAAGAGTTTGGTTTCAATATGTCAAATTTAATGTGCTTATAGGAAATGTTATTTATTTATTTATTTGAGGCAGGGTTTCTCTGTCGCCTAGGCTACAGTGCAGTGGTGCAATCTTGGCTCACTGAAATATCTGCCTCCCGGGTTCAAGCAATTCTCCCATCTCAGCCTCCCCAGTAGCTGGGGCCCAGCTAATTTGGTATTTTATGGTAGAAGCAGGATTTCACCATGTTGGCCAAGGCTGGTCTCAAACTCCTGACCTCAAGTGATCCGCCCTCCTTGGCCTCCCGAAGTGCTGGGATTACAGGTGTAATTACGGTACCAGACCTGATGTGCCTATTGGAATTTAAATGGAGAGGGCCAGTTAGTTTAGGAGACAACTAGGTTAGATGTAAGGGTTTCAGACTTGTCAGTATACAGGTGGTGACTGATGCCATGGGAATGCCACAGGAATGACTGGTATTACCCAGCGAGCTGGTGCACAGTAGGAGCCTTGGGGCACATGTTAAGGGGATGTCAGAGTAAGCTCACAAAGACTCAGAAGTGGCCACCAAAGCTGATCTTCGAAGGCAGCCAGGGGCGCCAGTTCCACGGGGACTCGCACCGAGACGCTCCCAGCCAGCCCCGCACGCGAGAGAATGACTGGCTCCAGGGAAACGCAGAGGACCGCCAGAAGCCGCCGAGAGGAAAGAAACCCATTAGAGCTGTGCTCAGTAACCGCGGCGGCCAGAGCTGGCGGCCGAGATTCTCGCCCGTGAGATTCCAGTCCTAGGCTGAACCAGAGATAGTCTTTTGTCAATCTCCACTCTACCGCTTCGAAAAACCCTAACATTAAAAAAATAAGGCCAAAAACGTCAGGTCGGGGGACTCCAACACGGGAGTGTCCCGAAACTGGAGTCTTCAAGCGCCGTGTGCGTCCGCGGTTCTGCTCGCAGCCACGGACCGCAGAACTCCGGACCCAATTCGCCCCCGCCCTCCCCAGCTCTGGCTTCGCGCCTGCGCACAGTGCGTTGCGTGGAGGGCGGGGCATCTCAGGTCCCGCCCCGCAGCGCGTCCTGTGGGTTGTGAGGAGGAGCTTTGCCTCATTCGAAGGCGCAGCGAAGGGCAGACGGCGGCGGGAGCAGCGGTCTTGGGCAGGATGAATGCAGGCTCGGATCCAGTGGTCATCGTCTCGGCGGCGCGGACCATCATAGGTGAGTGGCCTGCAGGCCCGGCGCAGAGTCCGAGACGCCTGCAGCTTCGGCAGGAGCGCCGAGGGCCGGACGCGTGTTGTGTGGGAGAGGGGTCGTGTGTGGAGGAGGTCGGTCCCGCCAAGTTACGACGACCCGCGGGGTCCCTGGAACGTGCACCTAGCGCGTTCCCTGTCCTGAGGGGACAGCCCCACCCTCTCCTCGCCCGATGGGCGCACTCCCCTCCTCATATTCGGATTGGCTGCTGAGGGTAGAGCCATCGCGCCGCCTGGCTCCCCCATTGGCTGCGTAGGGAGGCGTTCTTTCGCGAGGTCCCTGATTGGCCGGCTCCGGAAGGCGCCATCGGTCAGGCCTGCGGCCGCAGGGGCAGAACTGCTCGGTGGTCTGAGCCTGGCACTGGGCTGGGGTCGGCCTGTGGCTAGAGGACGTGACTTCCATCTCCTTTGTGCGGCATGGTTTTCAACCCCTTGACCCGCCGGTTCCTTTTGTTTGGGAAGCATGGGGCCACATCCCGTCCTTTGGATTTGGAGAAATAGATGGGGTCCAGCGGTATCCATAGGCCACTCCAAATGTCGCTTACCCTGCCCTGACCTTTGCTTGGACCAGCAGGTGTGGGAATGTGTGGGAGGAGAGGGCGCTGCCTCCTCGCTGTGGCCTTGCCAGCCTGGGTCCTGGGGCCCCGCTGCGCGTGAGTAGTTTCTGCACTGCCCTCAGGCTTGCGATGCCGCCTTTCTGTTGCAGGCTCTTTCAATGGTGCTTTAGCCTCTGTTCCAGTCCAGGACCTGGGCTCCACTGTCATCAAAGAGGTCTTGAAGAGGGCCACTGTGGCTCCGGATGATGTGTCTGAGGTCATCTTTGGACACGTTTTGGCAGCAGGTAACTCTCAGTGATTCCAAGAGAGGTCAGGCTTATTAGAAACAGCCCATAAACACACACTCACACACTCTCTCACTCAATTTCTTAGGTTCTTGCCTCCATAGGCATAGTTTGCTCATAGTTCCTTCTGTTAGAATTCCTCCTGCGGCCCCTTCTTCCAGCCCTGTCAATAGCTTCTATCCAGCTTGAGACTCAGCTTCTTAGCCAGGCATTGTGGCTCCTGGCTAAGAATCCCAGCTCTTTGGAAGGCCAAGGAAGAAGGATCACTTGAGGCCAGAAGTTTGAGACCAGCATGGACAACAAGGCAAGATCATGTCTCTACAAAACATAAAATAATTAGCCAGGCATTATGGCCTCAGCTACTGGAGAGGCTGAGGTGGGAGGATCACTTGAGCCCAGGAGTTTGAGGCACATTACTTTTTAAAATTTTATTTTATTTTATTTTTTTATAAAGATGGGGTTTCACCATGTTGGTCAGGCTGGTCTTGAACTCCCGACCTCAGGTGATCCGCCCACCTTGGCCTCCAGAGTGCTTGGATTACAGGCGTGAGCCACCACGTCCGGCCTGAGGCACATTACTTTAAGTGATTGTGCCAGTGCACTGTGGCCTGGGTGACAGTGAGATCCTTTCTCTAAACAAACAAAAAGACTCAGCTTCATTAATATGCTTTTTGTGAATAAACCTACAGCACTGACCTACACTGCCGTTTTATTCTTAAGAAGCAGGACAGCCTGATGCATAGGAAAGTATGCATGCTCCTCATTACCCCAAAGTGTCACACATTCAACAAAAATGTATTCAGTTCCTCCAATGTGCCCCATGCTGTGCTTAGTGCTGGGAGTGTGACTCCAACAGTACAAGTAAGTTCCCTGCCCTCGTAGGGCTCAGTTCCGCGCTTGGAAAATTGGTGGCACATTTGCCCCTTGCAAATGGGGCGTATCACTCCCTAGGGGAATATAGCTGAGTCCTGCAAGTGCTCCCATCTTCTGATTCTTTGGGTTTGAACACTCCTAATTAATTAATTGTTATTATTACTTTAAGAGACAGGATCTTACTCTGTCGTTCAGGCTGGTGTGCGGTGGTGTAATTAGTCATAGCCCACTATAACCTCAAACTCCTGAACTCAAGCGTTCCTCCCACTTCAGCTTCTGGAGTAGCTGGGATTACAGGAGCAGGCCACCACACCTGGCTAATTTTAAAACGTTTTTCGTAGAAGCGGAGTCTCTCTCTGTTGCCTAGGCTGGAGTGCAGTGGCTGTTCACAGGCACATCATGGTGCACCACAGCCTTGAACTTCTGAGCTAGCTGGAACTAGCCTCCCAAGTAGCTGGGACTACAGTGCATATCTGCTAAGTTGAAGGCCATTAAAGCACTGTGCAAAGTGTTTTCCTTTCATTACCTCATTTAGTCTTCCCCACAGGTCTGTTATATCCCATTATCTTTATTTTACAAATGAGTAAATCAGAGTTTGAGAGCTTAGATGACTTACCAGGGTCACAGTTTGAAGTGGAGCTCGCACTTGAGCTTAGATCTATTCTATTCCTTAAGCCAGATACTCTACAATCATGTAACAAATGTTTATTGAGCACCTACTCTGTCCCAGGCACTATTTTAGCAGCTAGAGATAAGCAATGTTCTTATCAGATAGAAATTCTCATTTTTATGAAGCTCATAGTATGCAAAGTGTTAGCATTATTAATTATGTTAGCACCTCATTGTTTTTTTTTTTTGGGATGGAGTTTCACTCTGTTGCCCAGGCTGGAGTACAGTGGCACTATCTTGGCTTACTGCAACCTCTGCCTCCCGAGTTGAAGTGATTGTCCTGCCTCAGCCTCACAAGTAACTGGGATTACAAGTGCCTGCCACTGCGCCTGGCTAATTTTTGTATTTTTAGTAGAGACGGGGTTTCACCATGTTGGCCAGGCTGGTCTCAAACTTTTGACCTCAAGTGATCCACCCACCTCAGCCTCCCAAAGTGCTGGGATTACAGGTGTGAGCCATCATGCCCAGCCCTGCACCTCATTTCTTCTTTTTTTTTTTTTAAATTTGAAATGAAGTCTTGCTGTGTCACCCAGGCTGAAGTGCAGCCGTGTGATCTTGGCTCACTGCAACCTCCATCTCTTGGGTTCAAGCCGTTCTCCTGCCTCAGCCTCCCGAGTAGCCAGGTATCTGGGTCACCACGTGTGGGGGTCTGTCCTGCCCTGACTCAACGACAGATGAATAAAGTACACTCACACAGAATACAGTGAGTAAGCGGGCTGGGTGTCCATGGCCACTTACAGACTCCTTGGACAGTGCTATAAACAGTTGTGACCACCTGCCCCCACATGCTTGCCTCTCTGGCCTTTATTCAGCACATTTTTTTTTTTTTTTTTTTTGAGACAGAGTTTCACTCTTGTTACCCAGGCTGGAGTGCAATGGCACGATCTCGGCTCACCGCAACCTCCGCCTCCTAGGTTCAGGCAATTCTCCTGCCTCAGCCTCCTGAGTAGCAGGGTTTACAGGCATGCGCCACCATGCCCAGCTAACTTTTTGTAGTTTTAGTAGAGATGGGGTTTCACCATGTTGACCAGGATGGTCTTGATCTCTTGACCTCGTGATCCACCTGCCTCGGCCTCCCAAAGTGCTGGGATTATAGGCGTGAGCCACCGCGCCTGGCTCAGCACATATTAAATGACAAAATTTTTTGAGTCAACACCACTAGAGGTTAAAGATCAAAGGACAGGTTCTGAGGTCTAAAACAAACACCATTAGTGGGTAATATCCCTGGTCGGGCCCCCTGACTCCCTAGAGCCATCCAGAAGAATCAAAGGTTAATTTTAGAACCTCATGAGTAAACAAGTTAGTTAGGTAAACTCTTCACATTCCTTTGTTTCTACTATAATTTATTTAACTAAGGGGACAGGGCTGCCTTCAGCCAAGAACTATGGAAAAAACCGTTAGGCCTTCCAAAAGGGTTTGAGACTATTCTATAACTTTCCCCATTATTTTTCCCTTAATATTTTTGCCACCTGACTGAACTCCCACAGCTGGGATTATAGTTATGCATCACCACGCCCAGCTAATTTTTGTATTTTTAGTAGAGACAGGGTTTCACCATGTTGGCCAGGCTGGTCTCCATCTCCTGACTTCAAGTGATCCACCCATCTTGGCCTCCCAAAGTGCTGGGATTATAGGTGTGAGCCACCTCTCCCAGCCAGAGCCACCATGCCTGGCCTTTTTTTGGTGTGTGAGACAGAGTCTCACTTTGTTGCCCAGGCCGGAGTACAGTGGCGCAATATCAGCTCACTGCAATCTCTGCCTCCTGGATTCAAGCGATTCTTCTGTCTCAGCCTCCCGAGTAGCTGGGACTACAGGCACACGCCACCACGCCCAGCTAATTTTTGTATTTTTAGTAGAGACAGGGTCCACCATTTTGCCCAAGCTGGTCTCAAACTCCTGACCTTGTGATGTGCCTGCCTCAGCCTCCCAAAGTGCTGGGATTCCAGGCATGAGCCACTGTGCCCAGCCTGGCCTGTCTTTTAATATGTATATGCTCCTGCATATATTTTCAGTCTCAAGTAACCTTATCTGTTTTTAGTTTCCAGCCTAATCCCAGATTGATAACATTGTAATGAATATAATCTCTAATTTTTTTCAGTGACTCATTTGCTAGTTCTTTCCAACAAACTTACCAAGGAAGGGTGGTAGGTATCTGAAACTTGGAATAGAGTAACCACTGTATAAACACTTACTCTTGACTCTGTTAACAGACAATGGTGATTAAGAACATTTGAAACTTTTGGCCAGGCGCGGTGGCTCATGCCTGTAATCCCAGCACTTTGGGAGGCCAAGATGGGTGGATCACGAGATCAAGAGATCGAGACCATCTTGGCCAACACGGTGAAACCCCGTCTCTACTAAAAATACAAAAAATTAGCTGGGCATGGTGGCGCGTGCCTGTAATCCCAGCGACTCAGGAGGCTGCGGCAGGAGAATTGCCTGGACCCAGGAGGCAGAGGTTGCGGTGAGCCGATATCGCGCCATTGCACTCCAGCCTGGGTAACAAGAGCGAAACTCCGTCTCAAAAAAAAAAAAAAAAGAAAGAAAGAATATTTGAAACTTTTAACTCCACTCTGTTCTGTGCTGCTTTAAGTAAATGATGTATTTCTTTTCAACTAAAGGAAGTCCCCATAGTTGAATTATGAAAATAATTTGTGAATTCTGATTTTGTATATATCTTGTTTTATATAACCATTTAAGCATCCTGTGATGAATAATAAGCAAGAACAGAACTGCTTATTATCAAAGGTTTTCCTTTTTCAGTAACTTCTCTTTTCTCAAGTGTCTTAAGCCATGATCTTGGGAGGAAATGGCCCTAGTTAGAAATGTTGGTAATGCCTAGGTTATCCTATGTTTATAAGACATAGGTTTGATAATGCTTATTTAAGCCCTATCCAAACATGAGGATAACAGTTCTTTCTTAAGGTACTAATAACTTCTTTATGGAGGAGAAAGCTCATATCTATGAAATACCTACAGAGCAGCACAAGGCAGTATATATTCAAGGGCTAGACTATGACAGGTGGAGAGTGTAGACAAGCCTTTTTGCCTCCAGTGAGAACTTACCTGACCTGTAGTCTTCAAGAAGTGGCAGGTAAACCAACTGGCAATTTTGCACACACTTTCACTGTGACATTTTGTCTTTCTCCTTTATCACCAAGAGTCCTCTATGTTCCTCCTTCCAGGTTGTGGGCAGAATCCTGTTAGACAAGCCAGTATGGGTGCAGGAATTCCTTACTCTGTTCCAGCGTGGAGCTGCCAGATGATCTGTGGGTCAGGCCTAAAAGCTGTGTGCCTTGCGGCCCAGTCAATAAGGATAGGAGACTCCAGCATTGTGATTGCAGGAGGCATGGAAAATATGAGCAAGGTAAGAACTCTCCGATGAGGTGGCTTTTACTGACCTCACACTGAGAAAGTCATGTCTGTGCCAGAGCAGAGCAAATTGTTGCATATCAGAGCTGGAGCCAAACAATGAACCAATAAACAAAAAGGACAACCTTGACCCCTACTTGAATGTGAACTATTCTTCAGTTTGGGTGGGAAATCCAGGTTGATGAAAAAGTTTATCAGTGTGATTGGAACCAAATATGCTTTTTCTAAACTTTTAATGAAGCATATAATATTTTCTGATTTAAATTTATATTTGTTGCTCGATGTCCTTGGTTTTAAATTTCTTTCCCATTGCGCGTAAAAGGCAAAAAAAGAGCTGTTACCACTTACTTTCCTGCACGTGACAAGGAAATCCTGGGGACCAGACTTTTTTTACGTTTTTAGGGTATAGAATATGGAAAAGAGGACCACCGAGTGGTGCTTTTCTCCAGTAGGTTTGCCAGGCACAGTTTGTTTCACCAAGTTCCATACCTCAAATCGGCATAGCGGTTGAAAGAAAAAGTTAGAAGCTGATTCGGCCCAGCCATTGCTGAGGTTCAGGAGGAGGCGGGCTAAAGGTAGCAAAAAGAATCAGAGTGATTTTGGTGGGATCACACTGACGCCTGTGCCATACTTTACCAGGTGCTTTTGTACATGTGTTCACAGCAGCCCCATATAGGGTAAATCATATCATTCCCAGTTCACAGGTAAGGAAACTGATGCCCAGAGCCAGCATTCAAATACAGCTCTTCTGACTCTAAGTCCAATCAATAACTCTTTCCATTCTAATATGCCTGCTATTGAGTTGGTGAGAGTTAAGACTGGCCACTAGTCAGAAATCCCTCCTCATCAGTTAGTTAGGCAGCCTGATTATTCTGACTCCAGGCAGTATGTCATCCATTAAAATAGCTAACACATTGTTAGCTTTACTTTAGCTTCATTTAACAGGTAATTAACTGCCTCTATGGAAAGAATAAATGAGATTCTTAAGGAAACAGGACACAGAATGGGTAGGTTTGAGGGAGAATTGGAAATGGGTAGGTAGGAGAGTAATGGTTCCCAGTATAGGAAAGATGAAGTCTGCTAATTCCAGGGGTCTTCAGGCCCTGGCCTGGCTGAGGACCTGGAACGGGGGAGAAGGGCTGCAAAGGAGCCTAGATGAAGACTTAGGAAATACTAGATGATTTTGAGTTGGATTCTGGGGAGAAGACTAGTGACAACTAAGCCTAAATCCATTTTTATTTCTTATTTCTAGGCTCCTCACTTGGTTCACTTGAGAACAGGAGTAAAGATAGGTGAGATGGTACTAGCTGACAGTATACTCTCTGATGGTCTTACAGATGCATTTCACAACTGTCATATGGGTATTACAGGTAAGGCAGACATAGCTGAAACTATAATAACTTTAAAAAGGTTAAAAAGATCATATAATAATCTGTTTCTTAGGTGCTTTCCTCCTTATGTCCAGAGACTGTCTTAAGGATTTTTGTATCTCTTCTTTGATTAACTGACGTGAAGTGAGTATTCTCTTTGTGAATCCTTGATTATCAGAGAATGTTAGAAGTAGGAAGTACCGGCCGGGCGCGGTGGCTCACGCCAGTAATCCCAGCACTTTGGGAGGCCGAGGCAGGTGGATCACAAGGTCAAGAGATCAAGACCATCCTGGTCAACGTGGTGAAACCCCATCTCTACTAAAACTGCAAAAAATTAGCTGGGCATGGTGGTGCGTGCCTGTAATCCCAGCTGCTCAGGAGGCTGAGGCAGGAGAATTGCCTGAACCCAGGAGGCGGATGTTGCGGTGAGCCGAGATCGCGCCATTGCACTCCAGCCTGGGTAACAAGAGCAAAACTCCGTCTCAAAACAAAAAAAAAGAAGTAGGAAGTACTTCAGAGTTCTTCTGGATCAGTCCCCTCATTTTACCAAATGAAGAAACAGGGCCCACAAATAGTGCTTATGGGACAGAGGCAGTAATAGAGATAAACCAGTTTCTTTGGGGACTGCAAAAGGGTCCCCTTAAGTCTTTGATCAAATACTAAGCTTGTAGATAATAGTTTACAAGGCCTAGTAGAAAACAGCTGCAAGGGAGAGGTGAACTGAATGGAGATTTTATAGACTACTGGGAGATAAAAGAGTTCTGGAAAAGCAGAGAAGAAACCTTACTGAACCCCTTGGGCACTCCATTGACAGAACGACCACAGTTTAGGGGTAGGGCCAAAGCCATAGAGTAAAAGCTACTTAGACCCAAACTAAAAGCTTAAACACAAGCCTCAAAAGGATCAAGGTGATTTGTCAGTATATTGACTGCTTATGAAAACAAAACTCAATATATTCTCTAAAGAGAATAAAATCCACATGTCCAACTATATACCAACTATAGTGTTCAGCATGCAATAAGAACTTTCTAGAGCCGGGTGCAGTGGCTCAAGCCTGTAATCCTAGCACTTTGGGAGGCCAAGGCAGATGGATCACGAGGTCAGGAGATCGAGACCATCGTGTTCAACATGGTGAAACCCCGTCTCTACTAAAAATACAAAACATTAGCTGGGCATGGTGGCGCATGCCTGTAATCCCAGCTACTCAGGAGGCTGAGGCAGGAGAATTGCCTGAACCCGGGAGGCGGAGGTTGTGGTGAGTGGAGGTTGTGGTGAGCCGAGATTGTGCCATTACACTCCAGCCTGGGTAACAAGAGTGAAACTCCGTCTCAAAAAAAAAAAAACTTTCTAGATACTAAAAGAATTAGGAAAATGTAGCTTACAACCAGGGTGGTCAATAGACCCTGCAATAAAAGATACTAGAATTAGTAGACAAGGACTTTAAAGGCTCTATTTTATGTATGTTTAAAGATACAAAGGAAAATACAACCTTTATGGAGGAACAGATGTGGAAATCTCAGGAATAAAAGGAAAAATATAAACAAGAACCAAATAGAAAATCCAGAACTGCAGAGTATACAATCTGAAATTAAGAATTCACTGGGGATGGGGCTGGGCATGCTGGCTAACACCTGTAATTCCAGGACCTTGGGAGACTGAGGCGGGAGGATCACTTGAGACTGGGAGTTTGAGACTAGGTTGAGCAACATAGTTAGACCCCATCTCTTAAAAAAACATTCTGAATGGCCTTAATAGCAACTTGGAGACAGAAGAAAAAGGGTCAGGAAAATTGAAGATAGATCACATACACTACCTGAAGAACACAGAGAAAAATGTTAGAGAATAAACGAACAGTCCAGGCACCATGGCTCACACCTGTAATCCCAGTACTTTGGGAGCCCAAGCCTGGTGGATCACCTGAGGTCAGGAGTCCATGACCAGCACAGTCAACATGGTGAAACCCTGTCTGTACTAAAGATATAAAAATTAGCCAGGTGTGGTGGTACATGCCTGTAATCCCAGCTACTCGGGAAGCTGAGGCAGAAGAACAACTTGAACCTGAGAGGTGGGGGTTGCAGCAAGCTGAGATTGCACCATTGCACTCCAGCCTGGGTGACAAGAATAAAATTCTGTCTCAAAAAATTAAATTGGCCGGGCGCGGTGGCTCAAGCCTGTAATCCCAGCACTTTGGGAGGCCAAGGCGGGTGGATCACGAAGTCAAGAGATCGAGACCATCCTGGTCAACATGGTGAAACCCCGTCTCTATTAAAAATACAAAACATTAGCTGGGCATGGTGGTGCGTGCCTGTAATCCCAGCTACTCAGGAGGCTGAGGCAGGAGAATTGCCTGAACCCAGGAGGCGGAGGTTGCGGTGAGCCGAGATCGCTCCATTGCACTCCAGCCTGGGTAACATGTGTGAAACTCCCTATCAAAAAAAAAAAAAAAAAAAAAAAATTAAATCAAATTTAAAAATAGGCCAGCACAGTGGCTCATGCCTTTAATCCCAGCACTTTGGGAGGCTGAGATGGGTGGAATACCTGAGATTAGGAGTTTGAGAGTAGCCTGACCAACATGGAGAAACCCCGTCTCTACTAAAGATAAAAAAATTAGCCAGGCGTTGTGGTGCATGCCTGTAATCCCAGCTACTCAAGAGGCTGAGGTGGGAGAATTGCTTGAACCCGGGAGGCGGAGGTTGCAGTGAGCCAAGATCACACCACTGCACTCCAGCCTGGGCAACAAGAGCAAAACTCTGTCTCAAAAAAATAATAATAAAAGAAATAATAAATAGAGCCTCAGTGCTCTGTGGGACAAAATAAATAGTACTAACATACGTGGAATAGGAATCTCATACATGAAGAGAGAGAATAGGGCAGAAAAAAACTGAAGGAAATTTCCAAATTTGGTGTAAAAAAATTCAAAGATCAAGATGGACAAGAGAAAAATTGTACCTTAGCAAATTGTAGTAAAAACTAAAAGAGCGCACCACTGTCCTCCAGTCTCAGCAACAGAGCAAGACTCTGTCTCAAAAAAAATAAAAGAGAATTAAAGTGAAGAACTGTTTTTAGATGAAGGAAAATGAATTGCCTGCACACCTACACTACAAGAAATGCTTAAGGAGCCAGGCCTGGTGGTGTGCACCTGTACTCCCACCTACTCAAGAGCTGAGGCAGGAGATTGCTTAAGTCCAAAAGTTTGAGCCTAGCTTGGGCAAGGCTGTCATAGTGAGTATCCACTGCATTCCAGTCTGGGTAACATAGTGAAACCTCAATGACAACAAAAGAATAGCTTCCAAACCTGGGGGTAAATAAAGACAAGTGAGACCCCAGTTCTTTAAAAAAAAGGTTTGAGAGAATTGATACCAGAAGATGGAACCTTGGGTCTACACAAAGGAGTGAGTAGTGCCAAAAATTGTGATTGTGAAGGTAAATATAAAAGATCATATTTTCCTTCTTAATTTACAAAAAAAAGATATAGCTAATTAAAGTAAAAAGCATAACATTTACAACATGTATAGATATAATAGAGGTAAGGAATTGGGTGGGTAAGCAGGTGTGTTGGCTCATGCCTGTACTCCCAGCACTTTGAGCAGTGAGGCAGGAGGATTGCTTGAGCCCAGTAGTTGAAGACCAGTCTGGGCAACATAATGAGACCTCATCTCTACTAAAAATAAAATAAAATAAGTCCTGGTATGGTGATTTGTGTCTGTAGTCCTAACTACTTGGAGGCTGAAGTGGGAGGATTGCCTGAGCCGAGGAGTTTGAGGCTACTCTGAGCTATGATTGTACCACTGAACTGCAGCCTAAGTGAGAGAGTGAGAGACCCTATCTCTATTTAAAAAAAAAGAAAGAAAGAAGGAAAGGGAGGGGAGGGAGGGAGGGAGGGAGATGGGGGAACAATGGAGCTGTACTTTCATATGGTCCTTATCTCTATTACAAAAAAAAGAGAAAGAAGGAAGAGGGAGATGGGGAGCAACGGAGCTGTACTTCCATATGGTCTTTAAATTTTTATGTGAAATGGGACAGAATTAACTCTTAAGTAGACAGTTTTTTTTTTTTTTTTTTTTTT